TGTGTGTGTGTGTGTGTGTGTGTGTGTGTGTGTGTGTGTGTGTGTGTGTGTGTGTCCCCTGAAGAAAACCTCCAAAATATTGAGCTCTATGTGAGCAGATGCTTCAGCAGAACGAGCATTAGACATCGTCATAAGACTGTTTACTGGTGTTTGTGAGTGCCCTGTCCCACTCCCAGGAGTGTGAGTCTCCAGAGACATCTCTGAAATGATCACAGCGTGTGAGATAATTAGTCACTTAAGTGACGAGGTCCACTGAGACACACACATTGGGGAAAGACAGTGGAGTAAAGTTTTGGGTTTGGTTGTTAGGAGTGTTTTTGTGTTTTCAGTTACAAAGCAAGTTCATGTTTATAGGGAAGTCCATGTCATTTAGTCCATTGAGTTACTTTGCCTAAAATAAATGATTTAGTAATAAATGCATGAGAGGCTAAAATAATTCTGACCTTGCAGTACAAGGTAATGTGGAACATATATAATCTTTACTCTGACCCTGCACATATGAATGTTCTTACAGACAGACTTCCCGGTTAGTTGTGTCTTATGTTCACAGGACACAGATGGATGCGTGTATTTTCATAAAGCTTCCAATTAAGGTTCCAATTCAAGCAAAACAAAAGTACTCATTGCTGAATGACTCAATAACATCATGCCAAGTATTCTATTAGATGTGCAGTTTTGTATTTGTAAGTTCTTTTTGCTAATTCTTCAATCCTTGATAAGTAGGGCTAACACAAGTTAACCCCCTTTGTTAACTTTCCCTATCACGCACAAGGCCACAAGTCCAGACACGCCTGAGGCCACGTCCACACTAATACGTTTCGTTTGAAAACGCATCTTTTTCTCTCCGTTTTGGCCTTACGTCCACACTGAGACCACGTTTTCGGTCAAGGAAAACGGAGTGTTTTGAAAATGCTCTCCAAAGCACATACATTTGAAAACGCCGTTTTCGCGTCGCAGTGTGGCCAGCGAACCAAGCCTTTTCGAAAACAATGACACATTTAAGTCATGTGATGCAGTCATGTGACCAATTAACCTAAGATAGAGGGCATTATACAGCAGTTGTTTTGCTTGCTCTCAATTTTGACAGCCCTATTAAAGATTAATATCAGTCTGTACATGCTCCACATAGCTTTTCTTCTAATTCTTTAATTCTCACTCGCTTTTGCAACTTTGTACTTTAGTGTTAGTCGCAGCAACAACTCCACCTCATTGTGAGTCCGTTTAAAAAACTCGGTGCTTTTCTTCAACATTTTGCCGCCATGTTTCAAAGAGTTAGTAAATAAACGGCAGACAGAAATGAGGCAGGTCGAATTGTCTTGCGTTTCATGCATGCGCAATACAGGAACATAAGCATTTTTGGTCGTTTCAGTGTGTACGTACAACTCTGTGAAAACGACTGAAAACGATAGTGTGGACGAGGAGCGTTTTCAGAAGAAAACGCCGTTTTCAAAATATCCGGGCTAGTGTGGACGTAGCCTGAGAGCAAGAGCCACACAGCCGCCTCCCTTAGTAATATAGTACCTAAAAATTGAGCTACATCAACCACCAGTGTGCAGTACTTTGCAAAATATGCCAGGAAACTGTTCATGCTAAAAGTGTAAACGACAAACCTGTTTCCAAAAACACATCGCCAAGTACAACCAGGAAGAGATACCAGTAGGTGTTGGCGTGGATTGTGTAGCTCCTGAAGATGTACAAGTTCCTTCAATGACAGTTATTGTTAGACTAAAATGTTAACCCATGATTTTATTAAATTTTCCAGTGAAAACACTACCTTGGCTACTTTTGTGCTTACACTTGACTGATAATACTGCTGTTGTATCCTTGTGGCTATAGAGTCATCCAGGTAGTCTGTCAGCATTTTGTTCAAATGAATGCTGCTGCTTACAAGCTGCAATCACTGAGAAAATATTCACTATATCACAATAAACATCATTATAGGAAATTTTCCATGAAAGATCATAACCTTGAGGCTATATTGCCCAACCCTACTTAATAGAAATCCTGGGAACAAGACCATGCTCCATATTTTGTTTTAAATTCAATGGTCCCTGAAACATCATCCTGTTAAAATTGGTGTCAAACCTGATTTAGAAAAGAAAACCTTTGAAAAACTTGGTTACTTTGGATCAATAGAAGTTTTTGAT